CATTTCTAAGAACACGGTGAACATGGCTTGCTGAAATTCCCAAGGCACCAGACACTCTCCTAACACTTGTGGTCGGATCTCTATCAATCTCACGCAGAATCATACGAGTAAATCTGCGCTGACGAACATTTATGTTTTGATCCCTTTGGAGATTTCCAAAACCATTTTCAATTATTTGGCGATGCACTCTTACAAATACTGAGCGAGTTGGATGTCGTCTGTTTGCAAATCTTCGTGCGTATTCTCTGGCTGCTTCTACTGCGTTTCCATTTACAAAGCCATTCACAAAATTTATATCCGCTAACTCTTGATTGGAGAATAAAAATGGCATTTTTATAAAACTTACAAAAAAAAAACAGGTAAAAGAAACTAAATTTCGTGCATTCACAATTGCAAAAAAACGTTTCAGGCTTCAACAGACAACAAAACTAACTGTCAACTAATTGACGTTTAACCTTATTCTGCTTTCAATTTCAAAAATATTTGCAGGCACAGCCCACTTCTAAAAATTATCGAGATACTGACTTTTTAACGTTATTTTATCATAAATAATTAAAAATGCATCGAATCTTAAAAATCGAAATACCTCATAAACGGCTAACTATAACGAAAATTCACAAGAGAGCTTTTATATGTTGAAATGTGCGAAGAATCAGTTTTTTTATTCAAAAAGCAAAAAATTGCACTAAGAAAAATTTTTCGGTCATTTTAATACACTACAGGTACAGTAGAGAGCGCCCTCTAGCGGCTACAGTAAAACTATGCCCATGGTTCGTTTTTTCGTACCAAAAAACCCTTATATACCAATTTTCACTGTTATACATCAAATATTGTTCGAAATATTTAAAAAAAACTATTTTAGAAAGTAAATTTAAACACCCTGTATTTCGGAAGCCACGCATTTTTCGACCCATGTTTATATAGACTTTATGCATTAATTTTAAAAGTTCTATCGAATCTAAAAGTTATGCAACAATAAACTGAAACACCCTGTATAGCAGGTGTTGGTTCCAAATGTACCAGATGTAGCTAATTTTTCAGCGTGATCTCGTAGATTCAATCTACTTGACACCTTTTTACAATACAAATGAATTGGTTAGATACACGTACCTGACGGATTCTTTTGGCCATTGGTTAGTCCATCTAAGAAGGCTTGTCTTGCTGATTTAATTGTAGAGTTAGCCCAAACTTTAGGTTTTGTATGTCCTGTATTTATCCAGGTTTCATCCAAGTAATAAATCTTCCTGCCCTGTTCGCGGTATTTCTTTATTGATTTTAAATAATTTCTTCTCCATAAAATAATCTTTTGGCTGTCTATCAAAATACTATTTCTGCCCCGTTTTCTATACTCTAAATGAAGTTCTTTGAGTAAACTATAGGATGTGGTCCTTTTCAAAGTAGGTAAGTCTTCATCACTATTAACCTCCTGTGAAATTTGTCTATGATGGGAAGTTCCTGCCTCTCAAAAAATTGATTTACTTTGCGAAGGTGGCATTCCGACCAAGGTTATCAACAGTATCCAACAGCTTCGTGTGTGGTGAAGACTATTTTTTGTTTTTTCATATTCTTTAACAATGTTGAACATTGTCTTCGGACATAAGCCTATTTTGTTTGCCACACGTCTTTCAATATCATTTCAGGATGCTCTAAAATTTCGCTCTTATAAACGTTAAGGTCAGTTTCTTCTCATTATATTCAAATGTCCCTTCTTGTCACGTTTTCGGGGAGGAGGTATCCAGTGGCGGCTCGTGAGGTAGTGCCACGGTGCCATGGCACTACCTTGTCTTCTTCAAAAAGAATATTTTTTTCAATCTTCAATGTTTTACTTTATTTTCTGCTATTTCATTTTTTTTTTGTATAAATTATATGAAGTGACAACACTGACAACGTGACAACACCGCAAGCACCCGAACCACGCGAGACGCAAAGCACGCCTTGACCTTGACGTCATCAACTTGTGCCAATTTTGGGCCGGCCCAAATAAAAAGAGAGAAATTTTACTAGCATCGCATACGAGCGACAGAGATAACGCTACCCTACACATTTTTATATGAGGTGAATAGCGAAAGACAAGTATAATTTGTGCCAGGCACATCATCAGTCGTAATTCGTTCTCAAGTGATATCGGCGGTGTTTTTGTTCGGTCGGTCGTTTCGTTATGATTACGTCTAGTGCTGATTTCGGTCTTTTTTTACCTGAAAAGTGAAAAATACCTTGTTTGTTTTAGTACGTCTAGTGTTAATGAACTGCTCTGTTTTGTGATCATATTTTTTACTGTTTTATTAAAACTAGTGAAAATGAATAAAATCGGGATATTAAAAAACTCATTTAGTGGTTTTTCGCTGGATCAAAAACTGCAAATTAAAGAATTAGGACGGCCAATACCCGATTTAAAAATTGAGAAACAAAGTGGTAGCGGACAAAAATCGCGCTGTCGCAAATTTAATAAAAATGTGTACGATAAAAACAGCTGGATATGTGGTTGTGAAGAAACGAATAAACTATTTTGTTTTGTATGTGTTCTATTTGGAGGTGACGAGACTTGGTCAAAAAAAGGTACAGACGATCTTATACATATATGGGATAAAATGAAGACCCACGAAAAATCTAAAGTCCATATGAATAATGTTTTTAGCTTTTCTATTCTTGGTAAATTAAATATAAGGACTCAACTCAATTCGGCTTATCGCAATGATCTAATTAAACATAATAATCAAGAGGATAAGAATCGATATGTATTGAATAAAATTATTAATTGTATAAGGTTTTGTGGAGCATTTGAGTTAGCCTTAAGGGGTCACGATGAAAAGGAAAATTCGGAAAACAGAGGCATATTTAAGGAGCTGGTGAATTTTAGCGCCGAATTAGACAACGAATTGAAAGTCCATATTCAAAGTGCCAAACTTTTCAAGGGTACCTCAAAAACAACTCAAAACGAGCTTCTTGAGTGCATGCTAGATGTTTATCATGAAGAAGTTAAGAAGGAGATTGCAAATTCTCCTTTTGTTGCAGTAATTGCCGATGAAACGACTGACGTAGCCTGTGAATTTCAGTTAGTTATTATTTTCAGATATTTGTGTAAAGGACAACCAGTTGAGAGATTTTGGAGATTTTACGTCCCCGACGGACACGATGCCAAATCAATCGCTGCATGCGTTTTAAATGTTGTAAATCCATTACTAAATCAAAATCCAAACAAATTAATAGCTCAAAGCTATGATGGTGCGTCTGTTATGAGTGGTGAATTGAATGGCGTTCAAAAAATTATTAAGGAAACTTATCCACTTGCAAATTATGTTCATTGCTATGCACACCAGTTAAATCTAATTATGACAAGCGCATGCTCTGTCAGTACGCAGGCTAGAATATTTTTCCATAATTTATCTGGATTGTGCTCTTTTTTTTCGACGTCTCCTCAAAGAACAAAAATTTTGGATGAAATAGTTAATTGCAGATTGCCAAGATCTTCCCAAACACGTTGGAATTTTCAGTCACGAGGTGTTCATACAGTTTATGAAAATAGGAAAGACCTGATTGAAGTTATGGACAATATAGAAAGTACTTCACGCGATTCTTCGTCGATTAATCAAGCCAGTGGGTACAAATTAAAGCTGCAAGATACAAATTTTGTATTTTGGCTAAGTATATTCCATAAAATAATGCCACATGTTGAAATTGTCTTTAACCAATTACAAAAAGTATGCACCGATTCTGTTAAGGTCAAAAATGATTTAGAGAATTTTGAAGCAGCAATTCAAACTATACGAGAACAAATGGATAGCATTATTGACGAGATTGAACGAGTGCAGAGAGAAACTGATGAACCGGCAAGAAAAAAAAGGCAAGTTGAAGAAGGCAGCAAGAAACGGGAAGCGTTAGAAATATGCGATGCAGTATTATCCCAAATAAGAACAAGATTTAACTTTTCTGGACATTTAGTTGCTTCTAATTTATTTGTGTCTGAAAAGTTTTCTGTTTATAAACATCAGTTTCCTGAAGCACATTTAAATGACACATGCACACAATTTTCATTTTTAGACAAAAACAGGCTTAAAACTGAGTTACAAGTATTATATCAGAGAGAAGAATTGAGTACTACTTCTGGAGCTGTTCCACTATCCATTTTATTGAACGAGGAAGGATTAAATTGTACGTTTCAAGAAACTCTTAAGCTCTTAAGTATTTTAATCACTATACCGATGTCAACATCTGAAGCAGAACGCTCTTTTTCAATGCTGAAACGGATTAAAACTTTCCTCAGAAACACAATGAAGGAAGAAAGTCTTAGTGCTTTAGGAATGCTGTCTGCAGAAAAACATTTTGTTAGTGGCATTGAAAATTTTAATAATAAGGTAATCGAAAACTTTGCTACCAAAAAAGAAAGAAGAATGGACTTCATGTATAGAAAACTTTGAAGTTATAGGTACTTCTCCACACTTGTTTTATAATTTGGTGCGCGTGTGTAAATAGTTTTATTTTTGATTTTTTTTTGACATATAGATTTATTGAACCTCAAGAACTTTGACCACTAACTATCAGGGGTAAGTTATAAGTTATTCTTTACAATTTTGAATCGATTCAAAATTATGGCTTCCATTCTGGCACTACCTCACTGAATTGGCACGAGCCGCCACTGGAGGTATCACTAAAGAGGAAGCATGGCTGAAGGAAGCATATTCTCAGTTTCATCTGCTCTATTCGTAGACGACTTTCTAATGTATAAACAAACGCTATGTATGCACCGAATATGAACAGCAACTGCCGGCGTCGGCGTGCCTGCGATACCCCGAGCCTGAGTTCTATCCTTTCAAATCCTGCATTTGTTCGTAGTTTTATGGCAATAGCGATTGCAACGCTTAAGCGGCTGCCGCTTTGCCGCGCTGCATCCTTGTTGTTCCGGGGCGTAAATGAACTACGAATTGGGTATAGTAGTAGTGTTTGAATACATGTGAAGTATCTACATCTAACAAATAATTAATTGTATATGTGCTTTATTTTAGTTGAAGATGAGGACACAAGAATCCTGACGTTAGAACCTGTAACGGAGGAAGACATGCACGACCCAGTGTTCATAAATGAATTGAAGCTTTCTGAATTCAAACAGATATTGGCTAGAAGCAACATTAGTTCAGAATTCTCTGGAGGTGTTCTGTGGTGTTCTAATGGATCTATAGCTATCAGAAAGGTACTATGTTATTTCTGCATTAAGAGAGTTAAATGCTTACTTTTTACCATTGTTACAGGTGGAGACTGGCAAGATAATGCTTGAAGGATGTATATCAGAAGATTATTATAAAGTGAAAGAAATCATGTATGAACAATATGCAATTTTGTGAGCCACAATTAAAAAAATATATTTATTAATAAAAGTGAGGTTATGACTACTACTATTTTCATTTACCACATCAAGCAATCATTTTTAACTGTTAAGACAATTACTCAGGAGCTACCACTCAACAAAATGTAAATTGATGGATTGAGAGAAGTCTTTATTGTCTCGAGCTACAACACATATATCACCAGTATCCTTCACGCTTCGACGTCTTCTGAGGTCAACAGCTGATCAGCAAGTGACATTTTTGTGTTAGTCTGAAACGTTGGCAATAACGAATCGGATGTAAATCTTGGAAAACTTTCTTGTTTGTAGCGTTCTGTTTTTTATGCAAATGACCTTTTCTAAATAAAAGAGCTTTTAGCAATTACAAAATGAACTTTGCCGATATGGGGAATTTTGAAATATTACTAGATAATCAGCTGTCATTCTATCGTGATGGATACTCGTGAAATAGGGTATAAGGCAACAAAGAACAGAACATTTGTCAGAAACTATAACCACACTTTTTCTTATGAACACAAAAATGTTGTACGCCGTTTGTCTTGCTTGGTTTATTATATTTCGTTTGTTAATTTTTGCTTTGATTTAGAAATGGGAAGTGAAGGTAACTTAATACACTTTTTCGCTAGTAAAATAAAGTTTATCAGCATACTTTTGAAACTGAGCAGCAGTTACGAGAATGACCAGAAATGTTTCGTGATGTCTTGAATTCTATAGTTAGGTCATGTTTATGCTTCTTAGAAAATAATGGCAACCCATTTGAACACTTATTGAGAATAAAATATACATGAAATTTAAATTGATGGATTGGCGGAAGCCTTTCGAGGTACCAGACATATTTATAAACTATTTCACGAGCATCCATCACGCGTTGACGTCTACTGAGGTGAACAGCAGATCAGCAATTGATATTTTTGTGTTATTCTGAAACGTTGGCAATAATGAATCGGATGTAAATCTAGGAAAACTTGTTTGCAGCGTTTTGTTTTTTTAGGCAAGTACAAAATGAATCTGTAACGTACAAAAAAAGAAAAACGAAACAAAATATGGCTCTGACTACCTGACATTGACGGATCCGTCAGAATTATGCGTCCTTTGCGGATATGAGGAATTTTGAAATATTACTAGATAATTAGCTGTCATATTACTATAATGGATACTCGTATTTCACGAGTATCCCATCACGCTTAGACGTCGACTAAGATGAACAGCTGATCAGCAATTGACATTTTTGTGTTAGTCTGAAACGTTGGCAATAATAAAACGGATGTTAATCTAGGAAAACTTTCTTGTTTGTAGCGTTTTTTCTATGCAAATGACATTTTCTAAATAAAAGAGCTTTAAGCAATTACAAAATGAATTTGCGACGTTCAAAAAAAAAACAAAACAAAATATGGCTCTGTCTACCTGACATTCACGGATCCGTCAGAATTATGTGTCCTTTGCCGAGGTGGGGAATTTTGAAATATTACGAGATAATCAGCTGTCATTTTACCGTTATGGATACTCGTGAAAAGGACTATACACCAGTTATATTAACAAATCCAAGTGAATAACCAAAACTTTTGTTATTTACCGCGGTTATAATGTGGTTTAAGATGACACACGAGTTGATGATATCAGTTACTCGAATCGCTTGAATGCGTTGGTTTTAACCTCGGTTTTGTTGCAAGTTGTTTATTTCAGAAAAGTGCGTATATAATTTCTGATTATTTGAATTGTTACTTAATAATCGGTGCTTTTTGCAGGTGTTAATCACTTGAGAAAATCTCTCTTATTTCTAAACAAGTTTGTCGTGAAATTAAAAGATATGACGCCCAAAATTTTGATGGTGGAACCATGGCTTTGTGGCTATGACAACTTTCAATTCCTTAAACCTTTCTACATGCCAAAGAAAACATTTATTGATTCGGCAGAAATGACAGGAAAAGGCGATGAAAAAAAGATATTAGCAAAACCGTATACCCAACTGATAACCACACTCGCTTGAACGGATCGGTAAATACCAATCCGAAATGGTAAATACCATTTAATTTGGTTATTCGCTTGAATTTCTGACAATGCAGTAATGTGTCCCTGCGTTAATTTGCAGTTTTTGTGGCTAAATGAACAGGAATAATAATAAAATATCTAACACTATCGGACGTTTCAAATTTTACCCTAACCATTGCCTTGGGATCTCGAAAACGGTAAGAGACAGTGGCTTAGCTACGTTGGGTGGCACCCGGTGCGGAAGTCGGTGGAGTCACGCCATTGAAAATCAAAGGCAATCAATTTTATATGATTTACAAATGTCATGGATCATTTCATATTTATATTTAAAATATTGAACAAACAACAAAACAATAAAAACTAAGACATAAAAATATATTTTTACAATTAACATCTCTTCTTTCTAGCTTTGACTGCTGCAAACTCGGAAATAACTGCATCAAAATTTACATTTTGTATTAGCTCGTGTTCTATTGCTAATATACTGTAGCGTTTTTCTGGGTCCTTTTGTGTGTGGATTAAAACACTGGATTCCACAAAATTAAAGGCACTAATTTATTTGATAGAACATTTATATACACCACTATTTATGTCTGACTAATTCTTATGTCGCCATTGACTGCACTATACCCCACTCCGCTCTGCTCTGGTGTAATCTGTACTCTGCTTCCATCTCCCGGCTTCCGAGTTATATCTATTCCCCATTGCTGCTTCTAGAAAGGTCTGGTGAACCACAAAGCGGCATCTAGAATATTGGAGGTCACTTCGCGTCGATCTAGAAGGCGAGTTACTGCCACGGTCCTCACCGACGGCGCCAAGCGGCTTGTGCGGTCGTGGTTCGCGTAAAAGCAGAGATCGGCCATGAAGCTCTGGCGAGTAGGAGACTCGCCCGACAGATGGCGCCAACAGTACTATTTGTCACAATACCAAAATTGCTAAGCCGCGATTGAGTTATTGTTGCCCGCCAATAGTTTTTTTATTAATTTTAGCTTATTGAAACTCCTGTCACATGAAGCTACGGACGCGCAAACCATCATGAACAATTTTAGTGTAATTATAAGATTTGGAAGAGATTAATGTAGAATCCCATTCTATAATAAACTTGAAAAATCTAAAGATACCCAATCAGAAACTGCAACATTAGCGGCTTTTAAATGTCTTGGCGGTCTGGGTATCTCAAAAAGTAATTCTGTTTCTGAGACCTCATCATAAAAATCCGTAAATTTGGATGTAGCTAATTTCGCTCCTTCAGTATTCGTCGAAAGCAAAGTATTTGTTTGTACGATCTCAAACAATGAAAGTGTCTTGAAGAGACTTCGATCTTGTCTGGAGTTCAACTCTGAAATAGTTGAGTCACCGGGCGGGTGTCACCCCGAAAAAGGTGACACCCGGTGCGGCTCGCCCCCACCGCCTCCCCCTCTTGCTACGCCACAGGTAAGAGATACAAGGTAGGTTGAATGGGTGTAAAGTTGCATATTTCAGTAACTAAGAAGATTAAAAATTTTCGATATTCAGGCTATTTCCAAACAGATGAAAAAACTTTCTCAAAATCATTTTCATGATTGCCAGGCTTCATTTGAGGTGGGGCTTAAGAATAAATTGCACATTAAGATTTCCCTTTTTGTCCTATTCAAGTTCAGTGAGACGTTAGATTTTCTTATGCTTTACTACCCACTTTATTTTTTTTTTTCATGGACGCCATATTATATTTTTAGAAAGTTGAATAGTTTTTAATCCTTGAATCAGTGAGGTCCTTGTGAGTGTGCCAACCAGAAGGGAAAACATATATCCGACTGACTTTTATGCAATTTTTATTATGTTCTCCGGATTAAGAAAAAAGAAATATAACTTTATTGTCTTTTGAATTGTTTTCGTATCTTGCTTAGTTTTCGAAGAAAAAGTCCACTTACACACCACACAAGGAATATGAGGAAAAGTTTCTTTTGGAAATTATAATTTTTTATTAATTATATAACAACAAATACTAAATAAAAATTACATCTAGACTAATAAATTTCACTAGATTGAGTGTTGAAAATAGCCCCTTCGGCTTCAATATAACCGTCTAGTCGCCTCATCATTGAATTGCGCACTCTCCTGAAAATACCTGGCGTATTTTTTACACATTACAATTTATGTTATGACATAATAGTCATCTTTCGTGATTTTGACTATATGATGATATTTCGATTTGATATAGTAGTGTACCGGGTGTTGCTGAGACTTTCATCGTTGTACTGGGGGAATTTACATTCGACTTTCTCCGCCGAAATGACGGCCGTTTTTGACAGGAGAGATTCACAGCTGATTGTTATTTAACAACAATTTGACGCAAATAAATATTTGTGACTTAACCTCAAAACATAAACTAGGAAAATCAAGGCCATAAAGGCGTCTTACAATAATTCTAAGAACGACTGACGATACGGCCCTAAATGCTGAATTCGTTTTTTGAGACAACCCATGATTATTATTTAGGTACTACTCCTCAGTTTAGTGAAATTCATTAGCTTTGATGTTTATGTAATGCAATTTAATTTAGTGTTTATTTGTTTTTGTTACATAACTAGTAATAAAAAATTATAATAAAATAATAATTTTTAATTCCTTGTGTGGTACAATTAAGTGGACTTTTTTCTCGAAAACTAAGGAATATACGGAACAAATTCACGAGAAAAAAAGTTTATAAATCCAAAGAATGATAATAAAAAATGCACAAATGTCAGCGGCGTATATTTTTTTATCACAGATATTAGGTCAGATCCCGCTCGAGACACCACTGGACTTGATAAATTTGATCAAGTTAGGGCTAAATTGCCTCCTTGATGTTATAAATTCCACCGCCAAATTACAACAGAATTAGCAAAAAGATAGTTAAAAAATTTACGAAAAACCATTTTTTTAAAGATTTTAACACCCTGTATCTCGAGAACGGAGGATTTGCGGACGTTTGTTTATATGAACTTTTTGCCTTAATATCACTGAAGGAGGTGTCTATTAAATTAACACCCTCTACATAGAGATTCCACTCCTATTAGTGGGTGGATTTCCAAAAATATTAAATACATTTTTTTATGTTAATTGTAGAGTATTTTGTATACAGTTTCAGGTAAATCCCTTGAAATAATTAAAAGTTTCATACAAACTCCTACACTCCTTTAAGGGCTGGATTTCCAAAATAACTTACGCTTTATTTTCAAGCTTCCACGTTCAGCGGTTTCGTCTCTGTCTTGATATATCAGTCAGTGAGTCGGCGTACTATCAAATTTCAATATTACAGTGTCCCATTTCGAGAAAAACATTTCATATACACGTATGTCCTGAACGTATCAACTTTTGAGATACAGAGTGGTAAATTTTCAAAAACAAATCATATACTATTAATATCTTAAATACCACTTCATCTAATGAGATAGCATACATATATCCATTTCCATCCATCCATATTTGGTCTTACTTTTTTTTAAGTAAAATCGTTAATATTGCTGTATCTTGGTATAAAAATTACGTTGCTCGAACTGAATCGTGAGACGTGCACCTCCCCCCTTGACGTACCGCTCTTCAATTTTTACAAGAGCATCTGCTTTCAGAAGTACTTTATTTAGCATGCAGCCGTAATTTATATCTTTGAACATAACCTCTGTTCAGAAAGGACAAGACATAAATAACCCGTCGGGCACAGCTAATAGATATATCTCATTGGCAGCATATTCAGTAATGATTTTCTCACACAGTAAATATCACTGATTTTATACACATGCAGACGAATACACACAATCATCCAGATGGGATCTTGGTATTCAACCAACCTTTTTCTCAGAGATAAAAGCTATAGACTGCTCGGCTTCACAAAACGTATGCAACCCACAATGCGCGTATTTGAGCTATTCCTCCATAGATGGACGTTCACAACGATCCTAGTGAGCAAACGCGGAATAACTGCGACAAACTTAAAAACTCGCGCTTCTGTCTCGAACACATTGAACTCAAACTTTCAGTCAAATTCGGATCTCACTGTATGATCTTTTTGAAGTGCCCTTGTAAATTGCCTCAAGCTCCTTATCATTCGGTTCAGTTGTAAAAAATGACGTATTACTCTTCCAATCTAACTTTAGCATCGTCCCTCTCTTTCTCTACGGCGTGCAACTGACGGAGATAACCGATACGACCGTCTGTTGTTTATCCCCCACTACTTCTCTGTATTCATTCATTCGTGGTTCGCTCGAGTCGTCTTGTGTGTTGGTGCCGTTGCAGATACGGATTATTTATTTTTGAACTTTTTCGGGTGTTTTGTGGCTTTTTCTGAGTGAACTTTCGCGGTATAACTTAAAAGACTTGTGCCAGAAGAAGTAGAAGTGCAGGCAGTTCTCTCAGCCGTTGTAAAGTAAGCAGTTTTAAGATTTTACCTGGTTTAAGCTAACATAACCACACATTTTAGTGCCTTAAGTTTACGTTATTCGAGCTGTTTGAATTGTTTACTAAGCTAAGCTTACTGTTGAATATTTATGAAAATGTTCCTACGCATTTCATGTATGTAAAGCAGAGCTTGCAGAAATTATCGATAAGGATAATAATAGGTTTCTAGGAACTGTGAATCTTTCAACTGCTCCATCTTTCATAGCCTTCTTGGGACTTTTAGCTGTACTTATCTGTTTCTGATTTGAATTTGTCGATAAGCTGAATCGCTGAATATTGAATTCGAATGCAATCTATTCCGAAGTTTAATTTCACCTTTTGAAATCTTGCCAGAAATTGAGTTTGGATTAGGTAGGTATCTATTTGTTTTTAGATACACATTCCAATATTGAATGATGATTTTGTGTTCAAATATAGCAACCTAGGTGAATCTTAGGCTCAGTTTCTCTAATGATTTTACTTTTATTTCGCAAGATTATGTATTTGCTACAAATGGTATTATAAATTGGTCTTGTTTCTTAATTATCTGACAGTGACAAGACAAGAGAAAATCAATTTAGTATATTCATATTAATTTGGGATGAGGTAATGTTAGGAATAGGCTACATACTATCAGATTATTAATAACTGCTTTTAATATTTGTGATTTGGAAATTGCTTATAAATTTTCCATGATTTATTTGTTAATTTTGCTCCTATATATTATGCTTCAGTCTTACTATATTTTCTTAGATAACTGACAGAAAACCTTGTGCTTGTACCTCAGCCCAAATTCATGAGCTTATTGAACATTTTTAATTATATATTTTGTATACAGTTGCCATCTAATTATACAGGGTGACTTCGAAGTTGAGTCATTTATTTTAACAGTGTGTAGATCTGATCAAAAGAAATGTTTTTTTCCTTTACCATTTTTCTGGTAAAATTAAAGTAACAAAGTTATAGCCCTTTGGAAGTTTGGGTACCGCCCTGTCTCAATAACAATATTATGTGTTCGTGTTTGGCAACAACGGTTCATCGCATCGGAAACAAAAAAGCGAAAGAATTTGGAACGATGTTTTTACGATTACAATTCAGTTCAGTTATACATACAGTCATTTTCAGTCGCGTGTGAATAGTGGCTCAAACGAAATAAAAAATGGCACATGTTTATGCGGATCGGTTTCCCAATCGAGTGCAACCAACCCCTCGTGCCTTTGTTAATGTAGTACAACGGGCTCGTGAATCAGGTGACTTAAGACCTCACAGGGGACCTCACGATCAAATACAGGTCCGCACTGAAATACTTGTCGGGAGGATACTTTATAAAACAAGGTAAAATTTTTTTTTAATTTTTTTTTTATTTTTACACACATATTTTGGTTTATCTTCCTTCTACAATCATTATCTGAAAATTAATGACTCAACTTCAAAGTCACCCATATGCGCCACAATTTTAAATTAAGTTTTAATATCTAGTCATATAATGACGAATCCTATAATTCAGATAACGAGGATGGTGAAGTACCATCAAGAAAAAATTTAATATATCAAGATTTTGTAGGATAACAAACAAGTTATAGCCTTTGAGACATTGGTTTAAAGTGAATCTTGTGTTTCATTTCTGATTTAAATATTTGAAGAGTAAAATCATTGATTAACATATAACTGACAGTAAACCTTTTGACTTCAACTTGTGCTTGTACCTCAGCCCAAATTCATGAGCTTATCGAAAATTTCTAATTATATATTTTGTATACAGTTGCCATCTAATTATATATGCACCACAATTTTAAATTAAGTTTTAATATCTAGTCATATAATGAAGAATCCTATAATTCAGATAATTAGGATGGTGAAGTACCATCAAGAAAAGTTTTAATATATCAAGATTTTGTAGGATAACAAACAAGTTATAGCCTTTGAGGCATTGGTTTAAAGTGAATCTTGTATTTCATTTCTGATTTAAATATTTGAAGAGTAAAATCATTGATTAACATAATCCACCAATGGTAAAATGTTTCTGCTCTTTTACAACTACACTATTTTTTATTACACCTGACAGATGTATAGTATATGTTTATCTCAGTATTGTGGATTTCTTTTATATTGTTAGACCCTCACCTTATAGCTTCTATCCTCTTCTGGTCGCGAAAATTTAAGGAAAAACATATCAAGACAGTTCAACCTCGTTTCTTTATTTATTTTTTTGCATAGTTGAAAAAAGGCTTTTAGGTTCATAGATTCAGGAAGATTCCTTTCCCTTTTCAGACCATTTTTGAACCATATTCTGCAGTTACTCTTCCTTCTGGTCCTAGTTATTGGAATTGAGTATGTAGTAGTTACTACAACTAATATCAATTCAACGGAAACGCAGAATTAATCAACTTCCGGGCTAAGTATTTCCCCAACGGGAATGTGGATATTCAAAGATCAAATAATAATACGAGATAATGACGTTTTATACGAAAACAGCTTAAGCCATAGAAGATATCAAATACCTCCACTCCAAGTAGAGCCAAACATTGATAGCTGAAGCATCATGACTTTTAGGCAACACGTACAGCTTCGGAACTTGTACACATCAAGTGTAAACATCTAATGCTAAATTGATATCTTGTAGAAAAATCTACATAATGTCACTTTTCAAGATACGCGGGTCGCGACCGTTTCTTTCATTGTTTATATTTTTTATTGTAAAGAAATGACAAAAAGTAGAAATTAGAAAAAGAAGAGCAGAGTATGCAATTGACATGAAAACTGTCCGACAAGTGACGCCAGGGTAGTGACAAAAACGTACATGAAATCGAAAAAATTAAGATGCGTTAATTATCATATTACTACTAATAATATCAACTCAATGGAAACATAGAATTTGACAACTTCCAGGCCAAATATTTACAAAACAGAAATTTCACGAATCAAACAAGGATGCAAAAATGTGTTGCTCATAAGAGAACATGTGAACGGTACACGGGAAAAAGATGAATGCCATAAATTTGATGTTTTGTAGTTAGAACCGGCAACATGAAGTCTTAACCCAGTACAATCCTATGAGGTATAGGAAACACGCAAAAACGACAGTTCGTAGTTATACCCAATTGAAAACTTGCCCTGCAGGAAAAAAAGATGAATGTCATAGCCATAATATGAATAAATGAACATTCACCCATCGTCACCGAAACTAGTAGCTGCCACAACAATTTACTATACATCAATCTGCTACGTAAAAAATAAACGTTAAGTACTAATCATTTTCAAGCAGTTACCATTAATTTTGTTTTGTTTGATATACTTTTGAATAAAGCTTTTTTTGGTTCATTGTTGTTAAAAAAATAATTAGAAAAAATTCTGTGTGTGAGCTATTGATGTTAGAAAATGACCTTTCTCTCATATTCTAGGCCCTGTGTAATAAATTTCCTGTTAAGGTAGTTCTCATATTACACACACAGTGCCGGCGGCAATGCCGCCGGGTTTATGCCGAGCGGCTATGCCGCCGGCAATACAAGCCGCCGGCACAAGCCGCGCAAAGCCGTCAAGCATTATTCCGGTTGTGACAGTCACATAGAAAGCTAGTGAAGTGCTGCATTTCTGGGATTCGATAATATATCATTTTCATGAAATTTTTCAATTAAGAGCAGCACAGCTTCGTCGTCCCAATTAAACGACATTTTAATTTGTTTAAACACACAAACCGCACAACACTACCGCTCGAATGCCAGGAACGAAGTGACGCCGGCAAGCCGCGTAACCCGCCGGCACACCACGGCGGCTCCTTTGCGCGGCAAGCCTTTAGAGAAGCATTTTGCTGGAATCAACTCTTAGATTTTACAGGCTGTCGCATATTATGAAAGGTTCATTCCTAACCTCAATATGTCAAAAAAGTTGAATTCAGGCATGAACGCTAACACAAAAAATGTTGTCAAAATCATAAGGAGAATCTCAAAATTCCAAAATAAAAAGGATTTTCCATTAAAAAATGCTTAGCCTGCTTCCACTTTTGGGCAACCATGAATATTAAAAAATATTTTTCTATTCTTAATTCAACTTTTTTTTCACTTTCTTATAATAAGGAATCTAAGGTACTCCATCAGATCTTTGTACAAAGAGTCTAGGAAACTTCAAGTTTTTTAAATTCACTTTTTGTTGCATTAATCTTTTTTGCCCTGTACCCTGCATGTATTGATTGTCTGAGGAACTAAACGGTAGATTTAGTTCAAACTTCACAGGAACAATATTACAATACCTTGGATATAAAATTTTATTTTTTTATACTTTGTGTCTATACATCCTAGACCGGGTTATTGGCCACAAATTAAATATTCCCTTCCTTTTATTTTTGGACTACCTGCATATACAGTAATGGACAAAAGTATGTACACAAATATGAATATTTACCTAAATACCTTTAGAAAACGAATACATACTTCATTGCTCCATAAACAAATGCGTTATTAGTAGAAAAACTGAACTCCTTGTTTTTACATTATCTGCAATGAACACAATACAAGTCTGAGTATAAGCACTTTTTTATGAGGGATAAAAAAAGTAGACAAATTGTGGAATAAGTTGAGTGATTTGAAGACCATGCCGCGTGGTCCAGAAATTTATTTCGATGTGAAAACTAATTGAGTTATACAAAGATGGTCAACGTCAAGTCGACATTACCAAAAATTTGAAGCTGAACCGTAAAGCAGTTTGGGCAATATTGAACAAATATAAACAAAAAGGTATCTTGGAAGCCTCTAAGACTAAGAGAAGAGGTCGGCCTAGAAAACTATGCTAGATCAGTTAGATTAATAAAAGTAATTTCGTCCAAAGATTCGTTTAAAACCCCAAGACAAATAAAAGCCGAAATCGAGACAAAAGGAATTGTCAGTGTTTCTACGAAAACTATAGGTAGAAGATTAAATAATTAAGAAGCCGCTAATCTCGAGGAAAAACCGTAAGGACCGATTACACGGTTGCATCTTGATTGGAGCATCTGTGACTGGAAGAGGGCATGTTTCAGTGATGAATCCAAGTTCAATATGCTTGGACCAGATGGTGTCCATTACGTTAGACATCCTAGTGGACAAATATTGAACCCCAAGTACACTTTGCCCACTGTCAAACATGGAGGCGGGTCTGTTATGGTTTGGGGGTGCTTTTCGGGGTTTGGGATGGGACCTTTACGTAGAATAGATGGCATTATGGATAAGTTTATATACACAGACATACTAAAGCATGTCATGTTACCCTATATGGAAGACAATATGCCCTTAAGATCAATCTTCCAGCAAGATAATGACCCGAATGACACTTCAAATCTCGCAAAGAAATTCTTTCTGGATGAAAAAATACCAGTTCTCAAATGGCATTCAGTCTCCCGATATAAACCCCATTGAAAATCTATGGGAATACTTACTTAGATAAGCAAATACGAGATAAAAATTATTCAAACAAGGACGAACTTTTTGCCGCTTTAGAGCAAAAGTGGAGACGGATTGATGAATCTTATATCAAGAAACTTCTACAATCTATGCCGAGACGATGCAAGGCGGTGATTGATAATAATGGTTATGCTACAAATTATTAACACAAACATGGTTGTTTTTCTATAATTCACTGAACTTGGCTTCTTTTTTCTATAATTGTTTTGCTTTGGCTATATATTTTTGTCCTTCATAGTTCCAGTTTTTTTCAATTAATTTTTTATTGAAGGGAGTCTAATGAATTTATTTAGGTATAATTGAGTATTATGCTATAACGAATTATGTATAGAGGTTGGTGTATTAATAAAACAAGTTGAAAAAGAAATACAGCACAATATTAATTTGTCTATATACTTTTGTCCATTACTGTATATAATGTTTACAAATTCGTTGAAAAATTTTGAATACTCATATGTTTGGAGAAGTGAAACAGTGACCTATTAACATGAGTATGTCATGTCCCAATATCAAAAGTTGCATACCGCGCCACTGTAACTACCTGATACATAGATGCAGGCCTTCCCCCAGCATTTGCGGGCATGAGGGTGTATTAAATACCCTCGAGGGAGCAAATGAATTTGGCGTCAACAAGTGTTTGTAAATCGCCTGTACTGGGGTTCTCAGACAGGTCTTGTTATCCCAATTCAGCCTCATGACATACAGCCCTAAATTTTTATTTATGATATCTTTAAGGATATTGTAAGTGCTATCGAGGGCTGTTTAGGGTGTTCGATATACAGGAAGTTTTCTAATTGAATGAAGGGAGCAATTTTTGGGTCCATTTTAAGAAGAAAACTTCATATGCATGTATGTCCTAAACACAACTTACAGGGTGGATAAGTTTTCAAAAATAAGTCATTTATTATTAATGTTTGCAATACCACTTCAGGTAATCCATTGACATTGGGCATACATGTACTATGTATCCAGATGCATTTTTTGATGTACTGTAGTTTTTCTAATTTCTACCAGCGGCGTTCGCATGGAATTTACGAGGGATGTCTTTTAAGTTTTACATATAGAAACATAGCGCGGATCGAATGTCAGTACTGAATCTCAACCTCACTCTTTACTGAACTTAAATTCAAAGTTTCACAACGATACGTGCAGTGTTCTCACTACAGTGAATTTTTAAGTGTCATCAAGTCATTAGAAAAATGGAACTCAACCGAGAACATTTTCGCGACATAATTTATTACAACTTTCAGAGACAATTATCGCAACAAGAATGCCTTGCTGAGTTACTGTCTATTTTCGGCCACATCAGTCGACAATTTCCCGTTGAACGGGTGAGTCTTAGCGACGATTAGAGGGTGGGTGCACCAAAAACGGCAGTTACCCAGGAAAACGTCGATGTTGTGCGCAAACTCATAATTGAAGATAGACATGTGACATATCGCGAGATTGAGGCGTCATTGAAGATCTCAAAGACCTCAATTCAAAAAATTTTACATGACGAATTAGGAGTAAGAAAATTAGTTTCTCGTTGGATACCCCACCTGTTGACTGAAGAGCAGAAAGCAGCCAGGGTTAATTGGTGTCTAAAACGCTTGACCGTTTCAATTCTGGAAACTCAAAAAATGTGTAGAGCATTGTTAGTGGTGATAAATCGTGGATTTACTGTTATGAACCAGAAACTAAACGACAGTCGGTTGTTTGGGTGTTCCAAGGTGAAGAAATCCAACAGAAGTCATCCGTTCTCGAAGTGTTTCGAAAAAGATGGTCGCGACATTTGTGTCAAAAGCGGGTCATATTGCAACAGCTCCTCTTAATGAGCAAAGAACTGTTACTGCGGATTGATATACCACCATTTGTTTGCCAAAAGTCATCACCGAGCTTCGAAAAATCAACCCCGAAAGAAGAATCACCTCCACCAAGACAATGCAAGCTCGCACGGAGCCCAAAAAACAAGGCAGCATTTAACGGAGGAAAACGTGAAATTATTGGACCATCCTTCATTTAGTCCCGATCTAAGTCCTAACGATTTCTTTACTTTTCCGAAAATTAAAAACAGACTGCGTGGTCAAAGGTTCCAGTCACCAGAAGAAGCAGTTGACGCATTCAAAAATGCCGTTTTGGATCTGCCAGCAAACGAGTGGAATAAGTGCTTCGAAAATTGGTTCGAGCGCATGCAGATGTGTATTAATCTTCGTGGAGAATACTTCGAAAAACAATAAAGTCATTTAAAACTACCTACTGATTTCTGTCAAAATAAAAATTATGTTTGAAATCCTCAATCATTTCTAATATTTGGTCTCGACATTTACATTCTGATGCACGGTTTTTGCTTAAAAAAAAATAAAAAAACCCTTTTCTCTACATCATAATAATAATAACGCCTTTATTTGTTGTACAAGTTAGGGACAAAGATAGCGAAGCTTAGCCTAGGCTACTCTTACACTTAACCATCTTTGTCGATACATTTAGAGCACGATGTAATGTCCGTTGCCTAAGATATGTCATAAAAAATAATTTATAGTTATAACTAAACTATACTATGAACTAAAATACACCACAACTATATACAGTAATGACATGGATGCCCAAATATTGATCATAACGATATTGGTGATATGACAATGTTACCATGCAGAGAAATAGATTTTCTTTTTAGATGAGAACTTTGCGTCGAATTAAAGATATTCGAGAGTCAAAACTGCCCAGAAATAATTAAAGATTTCATTTTTTTATTTTAAGAAAAATGAAGACCTGTAGAACATTCGTTTTTCTTAAATTGCACCGAAAAATAATCTCTTTAAATATTGACATTAAATCAGGAAACCTGTATATCAGTTTTCCACGGTTACTTACTGACGATGACATGAATGTGTGTTGAAAAGATCCTCTAGTAGAGATAAAATGTATTTTTTTCACTTTTCACCGGTGAAATCACCATTATTGACCACAATGCCTTATTGAGAAGTAGCGTTTCTCCCCTTAGGTACAGTAATGGACAAAAGTATATAGACAAATTAATACAATTGTGCTGTATTTATTTTTTAGCTTGTTTTATTAATACACCAACCTGTATACATAATTCGTTATAGCATAATACTCACTTATACATAAATAAATTCATTAGATTCCCTTCAATAAAAAATTAATTGAAAAAACTGCAACTATGAAGGACATAAATATATAGACAAAGCAAACAATTATAGAAAAAAGAAGCAAAGTTCACTGAATTATAGAAAACCAACCATGTTTGTGTTAATATTTTGTAGCATATCCATTATTATCCACTCCACTTTTGATCTAAAGAGGCAAAAACTTCATCCTTGTTTGAATTATTGTTATCTCGTATTTGCTTATCTAATTATTACTTTTATTAATCTAACTGATCTAGCATTTAGTTTTCTAGGCCGACCACTTCTCTTCGAGGGTTCCAAGATACCTTTTTGTTTACATTTGTTCAATACTGCCCAAACTGCTTTACGCTTCAGCGTCAAATTTTTGGCAATATCGACTTGACGTTGACCATCTTTGTATAACTCAATGATCTTAGTTTTCACATCGAAAGAAATTTCTGGCCCACGCGGCATGGTCTTAAAATCACCCAACTTATTCCACAATACTTGATGAACAAAAACTAATCCTCTCCTGACACGAAACTGTACTAAACTAATGTTGAAAAGAATTTGTCTACATATTTTTGTCCCCCAAAAAAAAGTGCTTATATTCAGACTTGTATTGTGTTCATTGCAGATAATGTAGAAACAAGGAATTTAGTTTTTCTACTAATAACGCATTTGTTTATGGAGCAATGATGTATGAAGTCGTTTTCTAAAGGTATTTAGGTAAATATTCATATTTGTCTATATACTTTTGTCCGTTACTGTAAATAATGACGATAAAAAGCACGTAGTTAAATAATAATGAAATTTTGTCAGTTTCATTGTGTTACATAGATAACTGACGTTTATATTTCTTAATATCTTAGACCGTAGAAGTGATTTTGTGTATAGCTCCTTATGCGGTACTCAGATTCAGCTTCAACCCTAAATACGTGGTTATGTTTGTGTACCATCACCCCAGTTCTGCCCAAGACAGCATCTCAACTCTTATAAAATTTCATAGTGGAACTTCCATGAAATCGCGGTGGATTAAGGAGGTAGACCGAGAGCAAGACAGATCTAGTTTACAAGGTATCTATTTACTGTGATGGTGTCACATTTCACAATATCCGCTAAATTCGATGTGTAGATAGAGGCATGTTGAAAATGTGTCACATAATACGGGCGTTATCAGTATATATACCTACAAGATGCAACATGCAGTGCATTCATCGCTTTTCCCTACGTACACAGACTTCCAAATACTTCACATTTTGTCGCCGCAAGACTGATTAAAAAAATAATGCCTGCTTATAACAGGATTACGGATTCACCAAGTAGCTTGATATTTTTAGAAACTACTTGAATTGAAAATAAAATTACTTGAAACGTTAATGCTTGGCTTGATTATTTTATTGTTCTGCCTGACTTGAGGCATTTTTAAAGTATTTGATACTTGATGGTAAATTTTTGTTCTAGTAAAGGCGTTCAGTCATATTTGCATATGCAAATAATCACAAGTGGTGGAGAGGGCATGAAAATGTACTCCCAAATCTAGTTTCAGTGGCAAGAGATTTTTTAGCGACACGTGCAACATCAGCGTCCACTGAAAGGGAATTTTCTTGGGCTGCGCTGGCCACTACGGAACCCCGCAACAGATTAAACAATAAATTCGTTATGTCATGTGTCTTAACTTGCTGTTAGCGAATGAAAAGCTAATTCAGAATTTTTCATTTTTTTTGTATCAGCTGATGAAGCAATTCTTTTCTCTTAGACCTTACGATTTTATCGTTTCTTTATTTCTTATACAAAATATTCTGTTCAATATGTATTGTTTTCTCTGTAATTTGTCACAAAGTCTTTCCGTTACCATTTATCATCTACTCGTATTGATATTATCAAAATTATCAAGTAATGTCAAGAGTACTTGAATCTTCCAGAACTTGACGTAAAAACTACTTGATTTACATTGCTAAATATATACTTGACTTGAGCATGCCTTCAAGTCAAATAGTTTGATAATAATCAAGGCAAGTAGTGAATCCCTAAATAGTACTACACTATACTATGTGCAATGTACGAGCCCCTCCCCACTTCAGTTGGCCCACTTCAAGATTTGTACCAAAATATGCCTTTATAAACTAAACATGACGAAACTATTTACTTCTAAAACAATGTATTTTCTCAAAAACATTTTAGGTACACTCTAGTCGTAAAAAATACATATTTGAAATCACTTAGACCTATAACTAATAGAACATCTGAACAAGTAAACAAAGTGCGAATAAATGCGCGAAGTTAACAAAGCAACAATTGAATGATTACCATTGGGTAACATCACCTTAATTTTTTTATTACGGCTGAAATTCTTTGGGGCATAGGGTTAACCAAGTCTTGGCAAAAATTTGGTGTAAAACAATGCCATATTTCTTGAAGCTTTTGTCTCAGTTCGGTGATTGTACGAGCAGGATGTTGTCGTAGAACCTTTTTCATCTCGTGCCACAAAGTTTCAATAGGTGACAGATCTGGACTGCTAGAAACACATTTTAAAAGTGGTACCTACATTATTTTCGTCCATCCATTTGATAGCCTTTTTTGAGGTATGGCACGCTGCACCATCTTGCTGAAACACAAAATCTTGGCCGGATGTCAAACATTCTTCCATCACTGGTAAAAGCGATTCATCTAAAATTGCCAAATATTTGTTGGTATCCACATTTCCATCAATAAAATGAAGTTTTCCTACTCCTTTTGATGACATACTGCCCCAGACCATAATGGTTGCTGGAAATTTCACTTTTCTCTTCAGACAGTCAACATGGAATGCTTCATTTTTTTGCGAATAACTGTAGTGCGACTGTCACCAACACAAACTTCGAATCGGGCCTCATCACTCCATTGTATTGCACACCATTGTTGAGGTGTCCATTGTCTATCTTCTTTAGCCCATCTAAGCCGATTTTTCTTTTGCACTGGAGTTAATAGTGGCTTTTCTTTCACAGAGCACTTAATTGTAAATAATTGGCACTCCTGTTTTTCACGATTATTCTTCTTAATGCTCTTCGGTCGGCATTTGTGATATTACTTTTTTTCACATATGGTGGCTTAATATTAACTGAACCAGTTACGTTATATCTTCTAACAATATTTCTCACACTGTACCGCGATAAGTCTAAGAAAGTTGCAATTTCTGAGTTTGATTTCCCAGAATTAAAAAATTTAATTATCATTAACCGAATTTTCTCACTAATAACCTTTTCTCTACCCATTTTGAAAACCTTAACTACCCAAAACTATTTTAAACGTATTCTGACAGCTGTGATTAATAAAAACAATTGTCATGGCTTTTATTTTTCAAAGCCACCTATGCGTTATAGACTTATTTTGCATTGAATTAAAAATAGGTTGATATGCTGTAATTCCAACATGTGTAATTTTTATGCTGCAAAGTTGATTAGGGAGTGATAAAGTTGGTGTTTTCTACTATATATTATCAAAACATTCATTGTTAATATTATAAACCTATAACATCCTACTACATTTTTATTATTTGTGTTTGATAAGAAAAAAAAAATAAGATTTCAATAGTTGGGCCAACTGAAGTGGGAAGGGGCTCGTAGATGATGACTTAACATATACATACATGTACTGCTTTATTGGAGTACTTGTTTTAGATTTTTGACTGTCAGATTTAAGCCAGCTTGTGTTTTGTCTGGAAACGTCAAAATATCATCTACGTGTAGGGATTCAGATCCTCAAAATGTACTTTTACCCGGTAGCCTTCTATGCCTTTAGATAATATATAATTGTTTATTTGTATTGCAGTACTTACAAAATTAGTAGGATAGCGAAAGTTAATAATTCGATGAAACATTGAATTACAGATCAAGCATGTACATGGTGTTATTTATCATGTATGCTTACTCGTACAAAACTGTTGTGGTAGAATTTATATTTTTATATTTGCGTGTTATATTTCTTTATCTGGATTCATTTTATCGCTTAAACATTTCAAAGGCATCCGAACTATCACATCACTACATCCAATTCACATTAAAATTAATTACCACAATATTTATTGTAAACTGATTTTCAGAATGA